GGCGCTTCCTCCTGCCACGGAATGGATTGCAGCTCAGCGGTCTTTGCGATGGGGAGGATGAGGAGACCAGACTAGGAGTCAGCTCTGCCCACTGGGACCTTCAGCTCCACCCCCCACTGTTGCCCTTCCTGGCACTCCACCAGGACCCACAGACAAGGTTTCTGCCTGGGTTCCAGCAGACGGCCCCTCGTGATCTGACGAAACAGACTTACTCCAGGGCCCCCCCCCACGACTTGCAAAAACACTTTTGCTCACTCTTCCTGAGGCATTTGTGCCTCCCCTCCCCCCCCCCCGCTTTCTGCACATGCTCAGTCCTCCTTTCTCCCACAATGCCCCTTGAGTCGTCAAAAGGCCCTTTGTGCGGTTGCTGCATCCACCACAATCATTTTGCCTCTCTTTATTTTCCGTGACCTTTTTGGGTGTGGAAAAGCGGCCACCGCCCCCTGACTGGCTTTACACCTGCAGCCGATTCCTCTCACTGAGCTTCCTTTACACTTTCGTATTATAAAAGAAGTGAAATGATTCATGAGCTCAGGTATCCTGCCCTCTCCACTTCCTGGAGCATGGGCTGTTTATGTTTCTCCTCAAATGGCAGCTATTCCAGCCCTACAGTCACCCTACATCCGAGAAGCACCTTGCAGAACGTGCCCAGCCAGCCCTCTCTTCCTTCACAACAGCCTGGGGAGGCAGGATAGTCTGCGTTCAGGGCATAGCCAGGACGGCCAGAGTACGGGGGGGAGGCCTTTGGGGCAATTCAGCCCCAGTGAGACCTGCCTGCCCCCTCCTTGGGCTCACTTTCTCTATTGCCTACTGGACGAGCATTAAAGACACTTTGCTGGCAATGAGTCTTTAGGCTCCTCAGGTAAACAGATACACAGCAGAAGAAGCTTTCGAAGGTTGGAGTCTATCAGGTGCAGCTAGAGGCTTGATTCCAAAAAATGTCTTCCTGCTTCTATACATTCACTAGTTTCTAAGGAGCCTCAACCTCCCTCCCCCCACTGCTGCTTTTGCAAAAAGGTATTATCAGTCATCTGAGTATCTGCAGTAAAACACGAGAGCCCCATTCAAAGCTGGGTTTGTCCTTGAGATATTAATCATGCAGAGGAGGAAGGTGGGGATGAACCTGCTTGCCCAACACCCTCCCTCGCCTTCCTGGTTGTCCTCCAAGAGGCAGAGGGTCAAGCCACTTTGAGCAGAGAGACTCCGGGGATCCTGTTGGCTCTTCACGCATTTTAGAGCTGGGGGGGGACGGACGGACCAGGGCTCCAGAGTGCACAGGCAGCCCCCGGGAGTTCAAGAGGCTCCCTGCTGCCTATGGGAGAGTAATGAGGGGGGAGCCCTCATCCTCCCTCCCCCATATGACTCACTTTGAACAGAGGAAGACTTTGCAAATGGGTGGAGCTGATCCTTGAAGAGCTCCAAAAGTCCTTTCTTCTGTGTGGAGGTTACAAGAATAATTCTGCTTGGCCCAGCAAAAAAGAGGAGGAGGAGAAGAGGGCTGGAGGAAGGTGGGTAGAAGGGCGAAAGCACAAGACAGCCAGAGGAACTTCCCTACATTGGGAGCCCCATACTGCTCACACCATCTGCTCCTTCTTCTGCCTGCCGACCAGTCAGCCAGACACCCTTGAAACTAGCAGCACAAGAAGGGGCAAGATGGCAGGAGACACCAAGGCCACTTAGCCTCTGGGATGCTGTTGAATCCAAGCTGCAAGCCTGCTCCTTCCCAGTCTAGGGCAGGCTGCCTCCCCACCTCTCAGATGTGAGAACCCAGGACACATAACACCGGTCATTTCCGGATTCAGCTTAAGTTTATTAGCCCTTCTCTGCCTCCAGGCCCTGCTCTAAAACCTCAGCTGCCTCTCCTGATTCAGATGGAGCAGAGAGATAGAGCTGGGTGTCATCTCCACTCTGACACGCCCAGAAGCTTAATATAGATGTTAAAGTCCACAGGGAACAAGATGGAGCCCTTTGGGACACTACAGGGCAACTCACATGGCACTGAACTGTAGCCTCCCATGACTACCCTGGAAACGGACCCGGGAGTAAGAGCGGAATCACTGAAGCACAGTGTCCCACCTCCCTGAGACACACCAGAAGTATCAAAAGCCACCATCTGCTCTCAAATGTGTCATTTTGGCGCAAGGGGCTGAAGGTCTCTCAGTTCCAGGTGGCCTCGCATGATGCTGATTATTTGGATCCATTCCAGCTCAGGCCTCGTTATGCTATGAAAACCACTTTGCTGGTCCTGATGGACGACTTATGGCAAAGGATGAAGGGGGGACAAGGGGCACTCCTGTCGTCTCTCCTTTACCTCTTAGTGGTTTCGATACCCTCAATCACAGCAACTTTCTGCTCAACTGTCTGGACTGGGCTTTGGCTTCACAAGGTCCCAGTCCTTTCAGGACGAGCCTTTTCAGAATGATGGAGCCTGGGGAGGAGGCATTTGCTCTGCCCCATGCCCCCTAGCTTAGGGGTCCACATCTATGCTTTTCAGCCTCTACATGAACTGCTGGGAGGCTGTCATCCCAAGGTTTGTGGTGCAGCATCCTCAGTATGACATTTGGCTCTGCCTCTTTCCCCCACCTCCTTATCCCAGGAAGGCTGTGGGTATCCTTAGCTGGTGCAGGGAAACAGCTCTGGGCTAGATCCTGCCTTTTCTATATCCCACATGCAGCTTGGCTGACAGGTGAAGAAGCACTGTGCATCAGCTTCAGCCCACCTGGAAAGGTCTGACCTAGAAACTGTGACCTACACCGGAGTCACATCCAGGCTTACCTACTGCAATGTGCTCTGCATAGGGTTGCTCTGAAAGGCAGTTTGGAAACTTCAGCTGGTCCCAAATGTAGCCACTAGAGCAGAGGTGGTTTTAGGGCAGTGCCACCAATTTTCCCGCACTGGGTGCCAAACTAAGGGGGTGTCACATGTTGCAGGAACACACCCCCCCCCCGCAATCATTCAGTTTGTACAAACACCACACACACACACACACACACACACACACACACAAATCAGCCATACATCAGATCTGTACCGTTCCACTTTTATTTTACACCATGAAGGAAGGACTAACAAAGGGGGGAGACTTGACACAAGGCAGCCATAATTCCCCAAGCCTGCAGCGAGCCCTACCCAGTTGGCATGCCAACCTTGATGGTCCTAGACAGAAGATCATTACACTCACAAAGGACCTGCATATGGAAGTAGATTCAGGACAGACTGAAACAAAGGACAGTGACCGACGGCCTCGGTCCAGTATACCTGAAGGAGCGTCTCCACTTCCATTGTTCTGCCCGGACACTGAGGTCCAGCACCTAGGGCCTTCAGGCGGTTTTCTCGCTACGAGAAGCCAAGTTACAGGGAACCAGGCAGAGGGCCTTCTCGGTGGTGCCGCCCGCCCTGTGGAACGCCCTCCCACCAGATGTCAAAGCGATAAACATCTACCTGACATTCAGAAGACATGTGAAGGCAGCCCTGTTCAGGGAAACTTTTAATGTTTAATAGGTTATTGTATTTTAGTGTGTTTTTTGGAAGCCATCCAGAGTGGCTGGGGAAGATGGGTGGGGTATAAATAATAAATTATTATTATTATTCCCTCAGGGCAGGAAACAGTGAACTCCTCTTTGTCCTCAGGAATGTAATCATGGGGAGAGGGAAAGGAGGAACCGGACAGGTGACAAGACACTCAGGTTACCACCACAACTCCTCCCTCAACCCCTCCTCTTTGTGATGTATCAATGATGTAGTCATGATGTAGTCTTAGGGGTGTAGCATGTGGGATTAGTAGCTAATAAAAGTTGAGGTCTCCTTTTGTTCAGGGCTTCCATCTTGTTCCACCTGGTGGCAGGTGGGAGTCCTGTTGCGACAGTCTTCAATAAAGACCAAGCCTACTGGCTGCTGTTTTGCTCTGGGATTCCTGGCTGGTGTCCTTGTTTTTTTTGTCCAAGGGAGCCCTCAGATTTCTCTGTTAACACACAGCTATGACAAAGTGAATTAAGCAGAATGGCTGGTGAAAGATGGGGGCTCCCCAAATTTCGGCCTTGCATTGGGGGCTGCTGAAATTTGAAAGACCAAAGTCCACCTCTGACTAGATCTTTGACGAGGAAGAGAAGTGGTCAGCTACTGTAACCCCTTCTGCTGTCCTGGCTCTGTCCTGCCTTCTGGTGCATTTCTGAGCCCAATTTAAAGTGATGGCTTTAGCCTTTAAAGCTCTAAACCATTTGGGCCCAAGTTATCTAATGGCCTGCCTGCAGCACACACCATCAGCCTTCCCATGGGCTGAAGCCCTCTGCATGCGCCCAACTCCTAGCTCAGTGCTGTTGGTGTCCATGAGAGAGAGGACTTTCCCTGTGGTGGCCCCCATGCCTTTGGAACTCCCTGCTGGTGGTTCTGAAGCAGACTCGGCCGCCCGTTCACCTTTGGGGAGGCGTTGAAGTTTCTCTTATGACCAGCCTGTCCTTGAGAAATGCCCTCTGGCTCAGACTGTGGGTTGCTGAGCTGTGGAAAATGTTTTAATTGCTTGGCTGAATATCTTTATTGGTTTTTTTATCTTGGGAAAGTAGGGGATGGGGAGGAAATGGAAGTTTTTTCTTTTTGTGTGTGTTGTTGATCCTTTTGTAAATGTTGACTGTTGCAAGCCCCCTTGGACAGGCGCTTTAAGGAAAGGGCTGAGAAACATTTTAAGTGAATAAACCATTGAATAATAAGAAGGGTTGGAGTGCCGCATGACAGCCACAGGTTTGAATCTAGGTTCAGATATGAAGTCCCCTGGGGGGCTTCCCCCTGGCCGGGGGGAGGGGAGCCATAACAATGCAGAACTGGAACATCAACAGAGAAGCAGCTCCACCTGCCAAAGGCTGCCTGGACTTCGCCATAATTGGAAGCTGTGCCAACCTGTGGGGGTGCCCCTTGCCAGCCTCATGAAAATCCCAAACGGTTGAGGTGCCTCCCTGCCCGCTGGTGTTTCCTGGGTGTGGCTGGGCATGGGCAGGTAGGGGTCTCACCTGTGTGTCCATTGTTCTGGAGGCGGAGCTTCTCCCTGGGAGGCAGGCTGTAGTCAGGCAGCAGGATGGGCTCCAGCTGGGGACTGAAGAGGGCGGCCCCCGTCTCAATGTTGATGGGGGACTGCATGTGGCCCCCGCAGTGGGGGAAATCAGAGGCCCACTCTGCCTTGTCTGAAAGAGGAGGGCAGGCATCAGGGGAGGGGAGGGGCTTTTCCTTCTAGCTGCTTGTGGCCCATCTTGGGGGTTGATGAGGTCGACCTTGAAGAAGCCCTTCACTCTCATCCTGACGTTGTTGGGGGATAAACTAAGAGGCCATCAAGGACCCCAGAGATGAGAGACGAGAGGCTCAACTTCTCCTGTCTTGCCCTTGTTGCAAAGTGGCTTCCTGGCACCTGCTTCCCTGCTATCACTCCCCCCCCCAAGCTGGGCCCCACACACCTCCGCGCTGAGCCAGGCCTTCAAGGGCACGTGCCAAGGTTGCTCTCCTCCCCAAGGCAAACCAGCTGAATCTCAGAAGCAGCCGGTTCCCACAGGGCAAAGTGCCAGCAGAGGCACCTGAGCTTCCTGCTGGGGGAGGAGGGGGCCAAGGAGTGCCAGAGCCACGGAAGGCGGCCCTGGGGGCCCAGCCTCACGGGAGATGGTGGCACCTGTTCTGTGGCTGCAGAGGACTCCAGGTCCACCGCTGTGCCCGACTGAGCTGGGGGACCAACAGGACTGACTGGCAAGAGGTCTTTGCCCCCACTCTCATTTAGCCAGACCCAGACCCACCTATGCAGGCCTTGGGGTGGTGCTGATCAGGCCCAGGGAGAGCAGGGCAGCTGGCTAATCATTAAGCCCCCAGCGCCTGTTTTCTGGCCAGAAGCCTAGAGGAGAGAGGGAGGGGCAGCCTTCACCGCCAGCCTTTACCTGCATAGCTCCAGTGACTGTTTCCATGGCCGGGAGGAAGACCTGGAAAGAGAAAGGGAAGCCAGGGATCAGGAAGTCTGAAGGTTCTCCAGCAAGGCTCAACAGCTGCTTTCCCGGCTCCCACCCTCCTGGTGAGCCTCTGGTGGAGGAAGGGGATATTACTGGTCAGGCATTGTCCTGGGAAAGGGTCCTCTACTCCCATCCCATGCAACCCCACTGCATGGCAAAGGTGGGAGAGTGCCAGGAGCCTACCAGTCCCTACCTGGTAAGGCAGCTTGGCTACCAACCAAGTTACCTTCCTACCTAGGCCAGGTATAATCCTGCTTGCCTCCAAAGGGAGGCCGGGTGGTCCAGAGAAGAGAGGTGAGTGGCTGCTCCTCCCTCCCTGCCTGCCTGCCTGCCCTTCCCCCTCCCCTGCTCACCTGCACTCCACACCTGGCTCCGTTTCTATGGTAATGGGGAGGCCAGGTCCCCATAGCCAGTCAGGCAGCCTCATGTATGGCAGGAGAGGCAAGTGGAAGAATATATGGGAGCCTTTTATGGCTCTTTTCTCATGCTGAAAGTTTTTCACAGACATCTTCTCAGTAACTCTTACAACCCTGTAAAGTAGTCCAACAGGATTATTCTTGTCCTGCTGAAGGAACAATGGGAGGGAGAGATTCTTGCGAAAATTCCCCTCTTGGGTCCAGGACTGAGCTGAGATTTCCCCTGGAGGGCTTCTGGGCAAGCACTCAGGCACTGCGGCCCCCTCCCATGAGGCTGTTGGGGCACTTGTCCCAATAAGCACTTTCAGTTCTTAGTTCAGGGCCCTCTGTTTAGATGGCGGTTCCTTCCTAATCTCCTGCATGACTGCAAAGAAAACTCTGGGCTGTGCCCACTCCCAGGTCAAGCAGGGAAGACCCCGCTCTTGGCTCTGCACTATCTGCATCCCCATCTTTTGCCCTTTGGAAATCTGCTGCTCCTGGAGCTCCACATACACCCTACTCGCCCTTGACCCACATGTTCCCCACATGCCAAACCCTTAGAAACCAAGAGGAAGGCCAGGTACAAGACTTGAACACAGTTGCCCAGTTTTGAGAGTCTGTTCTGATCAACAGGTGTGCCCTCTGTTGCAGAGAAAACTGCCTTCTATTCCCTGCACACACCCCCCCAGCTCAGCATTGCCTCCACTGATGAGCAGGTGGCTCTTTCCCATTCCTACCTGGAGATGACATGGGGGACTGGACCTGGGACAGAGGCTACCCTTAGGCAGATGGATGCAGCTGCCCCTGGAAGCAAAACACCCTGGACTGTCCCTATTGAAACCTCCTGCACACAGCACAGGAGGCTGCCTGATACTGAGTCACATCCTTGGGTCCATCTAGGCCAGTGTTGTCCACATTGACTGGCAGCACTGGGTCTCTGGGGTCTCAAGTAGAGAGTCCCTCCAAGCCCTATTCATGGGACTCCTAACCACCCTACTCTGGCCTTTCCCCCACCTGCATTCAGACTTGGGGATGTAAGAAGGAACAATAACATCATCTGGGAGGTGGCACTGAAACCACCTGAGGCATTTCCTCTAGAAGGAGGGAGGATTAAGCAAAGCTGAGCACTAGAATGTGCCAAGGACTCCAAAGCAGAAATGAAAATATTATTGCAAAAAGATGATGGGGTTGGGGGATGAGTGGAGGCTCCAGTGGCAGAAGGGACTGAACCATTTTACTGTGAAAAGATGAAAGCTCTAATAAAATTGACACCTAAAAAGGATGGGTGGGCCTTCAGCCCCCCTCCTTGGCAGCTACTTTGCTGGAGTGCTTCCTCTGCAACCTCCTGCTCAGAACAACTTCCCCCACCAAATCGTTTTTAATGAATTTCAAAACAGTAACCAATACAAAAAGGGAAAAAGCAAGTTTCTCAGGCATACAAAAGCTAAATAAATAAAAGTCATTAGGATCTAAGAGCTCTCTCTCTCTCTCTCTCTCTCTCTCACACACACACACACACACACACACACACACGGTGTAGCAGTAGTAGTAATAATTGCCCCAGCCACTCTGGGCAGCTTCCAACACATATAAAAATATAATAAACATCAAACATTAAAGACATCCAGATACAGGGCTGCCATAATACCAAACAAATTATAATACACTATATCATTCACTTCTTTACGTCCTTTGTTACAGGATATGGCTGGTGGGAAACAAACACCTCTGGTCTATACAAGCCAACTGCACCCTGAACTGGAGGTTCTTCCCTTGCTTCATTATTTGTATATACAATAAAATAATGCCAGATTTCATGGAAATTGTCAGGTGCTTTTTGTTTTGTCCACATGACACTTAATTTGTGTGATAGTGCTTCCCCAGTAAGGCTGTTTGCCAAACTATGTTATTTCACTGGTTCATATCTGGAGAATTTAAGTTTTCCCATTTCTGGCTACGGCTGTATGTGCTGCTGGTAAAAGACATGTTACAAGCTCTTTGCTTTTTAACTGTTCAATTTCTTCCATTTATAAATAAGCATAGCTAATGCGGAAGAAAATGGAACACCCTGAGATGTAATTAATGAAATTTCCTGAAAAACATTTTTCCGTTCAGAACAACTTATGCCACACATAATAATCCCCTCCTGGCAACCTGGGCCAGGAGTTCATGTGCCTGATGGATAGAGCAGTGCCTGAGGGCTGGGAGTGGGCCAGATTCCTGCAAGTTCCCCCCCCCCCCGTGCTGGTGGCGCAGACTGTAATGTGCTTCCTCCCTGCCCACCCACCCCAAGGGTGTGCACACATGCCAGGCCCCTCAGGGGGCCAGTGTCTCTCTTCCCACAAGCCCCACACGGATGTGGCTGAGCCTGCTAAAGAGACGGGTGCTGGTGTCTTTCAGTGGATCCAAGAGTGGACTGCAGGTGCCTCTTTAAGCCTTGCTCAGCAGGCCTTAAGCCACCACGAGGCCCACTGCAGGTTCTAGGGTGAAGCTGCCAGTGCACCCCAAGGTCTCCTGGAACTGCCCCAAGAAATGCCAGAGATGCCTTGGTTGTGAGCAGTCTGCTTCCTCTCATACCAACCAGAGAGGCCATTTACTGCTAACATGAGTAAGTAGGTACAAGGTGAATTGTGGGAGGTCTGGGATATCTTGGGCTAAATGCAGGAAACAAAAGCAAAAGGTTTGTGCAGAAACGGCAGCATAATGTAGTTTTGTTCAGTTTCACTTTCTGGGGGGACTTTGCTGTTTTGGGCACTCCCCAAAAGCTCAGAGCAAGAGAGGCACTAAATCCCCTTCCTTATGCTCTGCCCAGAATATGGGCTCAGCCCTTCCCACCAGGTGACCAAGGAGAGGTGGAAGAGATAGAGGTGGCTTGCCCAGGAGGGGGCAGAGACCATTTGCAAGAGCCAGAGTGGTCTCTGGCGATTCCACCCCAAAGACTCCCACCTCCCATTTCTCGTCCTTGCTCAGCCCCCATTTCCTCTGCCTGGACTCCATCATTCCACCTCCTCCTTCTGCACTGATTAAGGCAATTCTCCCAACGCTTTGCTGCTTAGTTTAAAAAGATAATTCAGCGGGGAAAGCAGTGGCCTCACCTGAAATGGAATGGCCTTTGAGCTAGGCAAGAGCAACAGCGTCAAGGAGCCATGGAGCAGCCCTTAGCACCAGCGTCCCACCAGGCTGGAGCAGGCTGGAGGGGTGGACAGAGGAACTCCCAGTGTTGAGGCTTAGAAAAGGGGGTTGGGAGTATCATAATCAGACATCAAGTGACTGAAGCAGGAGCTGGGGGGGGGCAGAAGCAGCACCCCCAGGAGCTCCCCCCACCGGGCCTAACCAGTGTTTCAGCTCCCAGAGCTCTGCCTGAGAAGAAGCCTATGGATTTCGTCCCATTTGTGGACCTCGGGTAGGACCCCATCCAGCCTTCTTGAGAGCTTTCTCCTGAACACGTGTAGCAACACTTGCTTAGCCAAGCCCCACCAGCTCCAGTTGCTGGAAGAAAATGCCTCTGCGGTTTTCCCCTGAAACCCACAGGATCAGGCTTCCTGATCCCTGGGGTGGAGATGGGAAAGAAAAGCCGGCTTTAAGCCTCCCCTCGAGGTTGACTCACTGTATGTCGGTGGACCCGTCAGTCGCTGCCGCGCCAATGAAGTGTGATAGGGAGAAGCTTTAGTTGATTAACCAACTTAATAAATTGACTGAACCTGAAGCTCTCTTGTATTTTGCATGACCTGAAGGCTCTGCATGCCCCCCCCCTTCCAGGGAGCTCACATCGACCCACTTTTTATTTAAAAGCAGCGGGAGGAGAGTATTGCAAGCGCACGCCTGCCACAAGCTGCGCCCCCCTCGCCCCAGCCCCCAGGACATTAAGGCCAGGAGGATCTTGGGCACAAACTGCTGCGGGAAGGCGGGGAAATGGCTGTGGGATCGGGTCCCTGACTGAGCCCGCCTGCTCCCCTCCCCGGCTCCCTGTACGCGGCTGGAGGTGGGACAACCAGACCTGGGCAGAGTAGTCAGGTTCTGCGTTCAGATCTTCCTTCAAGGTCAATTTCCTGATACAGGATTGCCCCAAAACGGCCATCAAAATGTAGCAGCTAATCCATACATAAAACAGCTTTAGCCTCCACGGAAAAAGAAGCCGAGAACTTTTCAGTCGAGCTCCTCTGGGAGCCTCGGCACAGCCCGGCTGCCTCTTGTCCGGGGCTCGAGAGAAAGAAGCCTCGGGGGCAGCAGCGCCGGGCGGGGAGGGGGCGCCGCGCCGCCAAAGAGCCCCTCCCCCGGGGCCCGACTAACTTTGTTCCTTGACTTGAGGATGGCACAAGCAGAAAGCCCAGAAAGCCCCGCGGGAAAGGGAGGGGGCTGCCGGGGGGACGCGGGCCAGTCTTTGCCTATCCGGCTCCCCAAACTAGACCACCTCCTCCCTCTCTCCCCCAGCCATTGTTCACAGAGGCCTCAGGCCGGGGGCCCGCCGGAGAAGGCGGGAATGGGGGGAGATGCTTCTGGAGGGAGGGAGGCGAGGAGGCTTCCCGGCGGAGAGGCGCGTCGGGGCTCCTCCACAGCTGGAGCGGGACTACCAGGACCCCGGGGGGGGGGACGACTCCCACCGAGATTCTCTCCCGATCAGGATCCTCCGGACCCCGCAAGCCAAGCCAGCTAAACAGACCAGCATCCGCGCCTTCCCTCGCCCCCTTTTGTTCCCTCCTGGCCGGCCGCGTTGCTGCGCTGCTCTGGGTGCGGCGTGGGGGCCGCTGGTACCCAGGTGATAAAGCGAGAGCAGGATGGAGTCCTGGGAGGCACTTTCCTTTCCCGCTGAGAAGTCGAACCGGCTGGGAGGGAGCGGAGAGCGAAGGGCACTCTGAGCATGTTCAGAGGCATCCTCTTCCGCCGGCGCCTGCAGGTCGCGTCGGCATTCTCGGCCCCTCCTGGGGCGACCTCCGGCTCCGGCCCCGGGAGTAAAGGCGAGGTTGGAGCCGGAGGACGGCACCAGAGCAGCAGCGGCACGCGTGGCGGTCCCTGGCGGAGCGGCTCTCCCTTCTCCACGCGCCCTCCATCCCGGGGGGAGATGCACTTGCCCCCGGAGCGGGGCCTCCCTTGTGGGTCCCTTGGAAGATCGGCGGCTCTGCCATGTCTACACGGGGATGGGGGGGCGGATCTGGGGGCTTCAGCCGCACTGTTGACCCACCTGCCTCCGAGTGGGGCCCCTCCGCGTCCTCTTCGTGGGCATCGGCGGCGGCCCAGGCCAGCAGGGCGGCCAGCAGGAGGAGGCGGCTGCGGGGCAGCCCTCGCCAGTCCCGGGCGCGCATCGTCCTCGCTGCACGCGGCTCCCTCCACGCCTGGCCGAGTGGGACCGGCAGGCGCTCAGGAAGGCCGACGGGGCGGGCGCGCCCTTTTATAGCCAGGACCTGTCGCTGCTACCGCCGCCTCCTCCGGGGAGCCCCGCGGGCTGAAAGCGCCCCCTCCTGGCTGCTGGCTCTGGGGGACTATCTCCCGGCTGAGCCTGGGAGCTCTGCCCTGCCCTGGTGCCGTTCTTCCCAGCGCTCGCCAGGACACCCTCGGCCATGGTCGCCCCTGAGACGCACCAGCCGGCTTACTCCTCTCAGCTGCTCCTACAGAGCCTCTCTTTGTCTTAAAGGCCCCTTCGGAGCTTGGTAGCCACCAGTCTAAATTACCCACAATGACCCAGAGTCTCCAATAGAGCATTGCTCTGCTGCATTGTGGGGCACCAAAGAACCTTAGCTCAGTTGCAGGGCATTTGCCTGCTTTGCATGCAGAAGGTTGCAGGTTCAATCCCTGGCTGGCACTATCTCCAGGTAGGGCAAAGGAAAGGGTTCCTACCTGAAACTCTGGGGAACTGCAGCTGCCAGTCAGAGTAGACAGTAGTGAGCTAGACAGCAGACTCCAATGCTCCTACTTTAATGGGTGGTTTGGAGCTGCCTGCCTGCCAGAACCAGTGGGGTCATTCAGTGGTGAGGCCCCAGCAGCTGCTGAGGATTCTCAGGTGCACTGATCCTGTGGGGTAGAGACTCAGCTCCCAAACTGATCTCAGAAGGAGCTGCAACAGCAGGTCTCCCTTCAAGCCTTGGAAATGGTGTAAGAGGGAAGGTGGCCACATCCCAATGCAAGAGGGCAGGTGAGAATGTTCACCTGTGAATGCTGCCACACCTCCATATTTTGGAGTGCAAATCATGCAGGATCTCCACCTCTCACTAACCAAACAGAGAGTCTTGTTGCAGCTTGAAGACTAAGGTTCGTTGTGGCATAAGACCCTTTCTTGTGTTCTCTTGCAAAGATTAATACTGCCCACTCCACTCCCTGGAATTTGTCGTCATATCAATCCTAAAATAAACTTTTGGTTTTCACATACTACACATTATTATTACTATTACTATTATTACTATTATTATTATTATTATTATTATTATTATTATTATTTATTAAACTTGTTAGTAACTTTATCTTGTTCAAAACAACTTACCAACCAACTAACCAAAAAAACAAAATACCAAACCCTTAGAAACCAAGAGGAAACCAAGAGGAAAGAGAAAACCATTAAAAATGTCCCACCCACTTCTAAAAGGCCACAGATACTTAAAAGCTAAAGGCCTGATCATAGAGGAAAGTTTTCACCTGGTATCTAACAACATGTAACAAAGGTGCCAGGCAAACCTCCCTAGGAGGAATATTCCACAAATGGGAGCCACTGCAGAAGGTTCATTCACGTGTTGCCACCCTCCAGACCTTGCATAGAGGAGGCAGACAAAGAAGGGCTCTGATGATGATTGCAGGGTCTGGGTGGGTTCATATGGGGAAGGGCCGTCCTTGATGTATTGTGCTCCTGAGCTGCTTACGGCTTTACAGGTCAAAACAAGCACTTTGCATTGGTCCCAGAAACTAATTGGCAACCAGTGCAGTCAGGCCACGATTGGTATTATTATTATTATTATTATTATTATTATCACTACTACTAATAATTTATAGCCTGCCCATCTGGCTGGCTTTCAACACATAAAAACAATGATAAAATGTCAAACATTAAGAACTTCCAGATACAGGGATGCCTTCAGATGTCTTCTAAAAGTTGTGTAGTTCTTTATCTCCTTGAAATCTGATGGGAGGCCATTCCACAGGAAAGGTGTCATTGCTGAGAAGGTCTTCTGCCTGGTTCCCTGTAACTTCACTTCTCTCAGTGAGGGAACTGCCAGAAGATCATCAGAGCTGGACCTCAGTGTCTGGGCTGGAAGATGGGGTGGAGACACTCGTTCAAGTATACAGGGCTGAGGCCATTTAGGGATTTAAAGGTCAGCTTCAACACGTTGAACTGTGCTCAGAAAAGTCCTGTGAGGCAGTGAAGATCCTTTAGAACCAGTGTTATATGGTCCTGGCAGCCACTTCCAGTCACCAGTCTAGCTGCCACATTCTGGATTAATTGTAGTTTCCAGGTCACCTTCAAAGGGAGCCCCACGTAGAGCGCATTGCAGTAGTCCAAGCGGGAGATAACCAGAGCATGCACCACTCTGGTGAGACAGTCTGCAGGCAGGTAGGGTCTCATCCTGCGTACCATATGGAGCTGGGAGACAGCTGCCCTGGACACAGAACTGACCTGCACCTCCATGGACAGTTGTGAGTCCAAAATGACCCCCAGGCTGCACACCTGGTACTTCAAGGACACGGTTATACCATTCAGGACCAGGGAGTCCCCTGCCCCTCAGAAACAGTCTTCTGTCTTGCTGGGATTCAACTTCATTCTGTTAGGCGCCATCCATCCTCCAACCGCCTCCAGACACTCACACAGACTTTCACTGGTTCTGATTTAAATGAGAGATAGATTAAACTGCCTCAGTGAGCAACCTGGCCACTTACTTCTGCCCCACCTGGCAGTTGATCATCCAACATGTGCTTAAAAACCTCCAAGAAAGGAGAGTCCACAATCTCCTGAGGGAGTCTGTTCCACTGTTGAACAGCTATTACCATCAGAAAGTTTTTCCTGATGTTTAGTTGGAACCTCCTTTATTGTACCTTGAATCCATTGGTGAGTTATACCCTCCAGAACAGCAGAAAACAAACTCATTCCAACTTCCCTGTGACAGCCCTTCAGATATTTGCAGATGGCTGTTGTGTCTCCTCTTTTCAAGGCTAAACATACCCAACTCTTTAAACTGCTCCTTATGATGCTTGGTTTCTAGACACTTTATCATCTTGGTTGCCCTCCTCTGCACACCTTCCAGTTTGTCAATATCCTTCTTAAAATGTGCTGCTCAGAACTGGACACAGGACTCCAGTACTGTTACTCATTTATGAACAAGTAAAAAAGCACACGCCCAGTTTCCATGCGCTCTGCCACTTGTCACAGTCCTCCGTTTGCCAGTAGCAATTTACTCATGCTGGTCACATGACCTGGAAAGCTGTCTATGGACAAACGCCAGCTCCCTCAGCCTGAAAAGTGAGATGAGCACTGCACCCCATAGTTGCCTTTGACTGGACTTAACTGTCCAGTGGTCTATTATCTTTACCTTTTACCTTTGGGGACTCCACTGTTTGCTTCTCTCCATTTGGAGTACTGTCCATTTATTCCTACTCACTGGCAGAGGAACAGGGGCGCAGGGGGAGTGCACCGACACCAGCACCATCAGGGAGGGAGGTACCATCGCAGCAGCCCCCGGACACGTGCTGCGCACCCCCCCACACACCGCGCCTGGTGTCACGGCCCCACAGGCAGCACCTTGTCCCCAGGATGCATACTCTGCCCCCAGTGCCGGGGCATGCAGCTTCGCCACTGCTCCCACTCTCTTCTTTCTGCAACTTAACAAATTCCTGATCTACAAGGGTAGATCCACATGCTTGCCATTTTCACACAAACTGCAGAAGCATGGGTGTAGCGGGGTGGGTGTGGGTGGGAGCAGAGCCCTGGGCGCATGATTTTTACAGGATGGAAGCCAGACCCGCCCCCCCCCCAAGGATCACTCCCCTGCCCTGCCTGCTGCCGGGGGTCTCTGAGCCCTGGAGCCCGGCTTGGCCTTGCCACCACATCCCCAGCCACCCTGCATGGGTGGCTAGGACCCCCGCTTGGCTCCAGTGCCCAGGGCTGAGCTGGTGCATGGGCTCCGTCAACCCTCCACACCTGTTTGCACATGCCTAGCAGCATGGGCAGCGAGGGCTGGCCTGGTGGCTTCTGGTGGCCTGGCGCTCCCTGGGTGCCAAATAAGGATGCAACACCCAGAAGCGTCGCACAATTTAGGAAACTACCATTCCACTGATCCCAGTGGTAAAAGATGCTTTTGAGCAAGGGAATTTAGTATTTTCTGAAATGGTTCAAATAAAATGACACAAAATGTCAAAGCCTGTCACACTGAAAATATTTTCATTAGGCTAATAGGCTATCTTGCAAAAATTACTTAATTTTGTTCATCCTCAGCA